TTCCCATGATAGGGCACAGTGACAGAATTGTAATAGAGAAGATAAATGAACATTAAATAATTTATTTCAGCCCTTTTTTTTTACTATTTCACTTTAAAAGTGATGTATGGCCAAAATAAGGAACTCATCTAATTTCTCTGTACTGCAGGAAGTATTGTTGTGCATCTACTGAATTCAATGCAGATATTGTAATGGGATTATAGATCTTATATATTTATATATGTAGAATATATATTTACTTTTAGTTTAGGCGTAAATAGAGGTGTTCTGATAATTTTGCTGCAACTTCCATTTCTTAGAAGTTCTATACAGAACTGCAAGCTGACTTAGAGGAAAACAAGTCAGTTTGCAAAGTTTTATATTGGTTTTAATATGCAAGCTGGGGAAAAAAAAGACCCCAGATTTTATTTTATAGCAGAGATTTCCTTCATTTGGTTCTCAAAACCTGCTTTGCTTGTAAGAGGCTTGAACGGGAAAATAAACACTGCTGCAGCTCAACATGAGGGCTGAGCCTCACTGATTGCTCAGCTGGCACCAAGTGCCCCAGTGACAGGAGTCCAGTGACAGGAGTCCAGTGACAGTCTCAGCTCTGAGCCCAGGCTCATGGGCCCGCCTGGGGAGAGGCACTGGGAATGGCCAGGCAGCCCCTCCTCTCCCAGGGAGCCTCAGGAAAGACACCAAATGATAATCAGAGGCTTTCAGCTATTGTTTATCCTCTCATTTTCTGCTGGATACTGACACAGAACAATTAGTTTTACAGAGTAGTTAGTGCCTCGCCTCTTCATCATGGCTAGAGCTGCTTTTAGGAAGTCCTACGTTGTGGAAAAAAACATGACATATTCCTTTCTTCCTTTATCTGTGCTGAAGGACTTCCTTGAAACGTAGAACAGGCTTTGTTGAAATGCTCCCTGTTTTTCTGTCAGCTCACACACCCAGCTGTGTAATGTGAGGCTGTTGTAGGTGTAGAACTCAGAAGTGCTCAGAGCCTGCCAAGGCTGCAGCCAGGTGCTGAACTACCAAATGCTGCTGAGCAGGTACCTAGAGCATCCAGCAGGAGGGGTATCACAGATGCTGATGGCCAGTGACAGGTCCCTGTGTCAGCCAGGCATCCAAGGTGAGTCTGTTTCAACCCTGAACCCCGCAAAGAAGATGAAAAAGCATTGAAACTTAGGTGGGAAAATGGTGTGTGCCATTATGACATGAACTGAAAATTTGTAAATGGGAAGAATTCAAAGCGACAGAGCCAGGTATAAGGGAAATTAAAAGAATTTCAAATCATTTATTCCTTCAACTGCTGCTTTCCTGTCCTTGCAAGTGGCTCCTCACACACTGACTGTTTCAGTCACTGGGGCAGAGCCTGCCCAGTTGTTTCTGTCACCTCTGGTCCCTGGGGAGCCCTGAGAGCAGACTGACAGCTGCACTCCATGTTCTGTGTTACACTCACTCTGTGTGAGCTGGGGATAGCCAGCTTTCTGTGGGATGCTCTTGCCTTCCATGGGCTCCGTCCTCAGGGTCTTGTTCCCCTCCAGCAAGTCTAGCAGATTTCTCTGTAGGAACACTCAGCAGGAAGTCAAAAGCCCTGCCAGTTTTCAAAAGGACTCAGCACAACTCTGACCAAAGTTGGGTGGGGACACAAAGAAGGAAAGATTTCTCACAATGGCTGTGGAGGACTCAGGGAAGGCTTTCATGGTAACAGAAATGTGGACTAGAAGCCCACATTGGGTGCCAAATCCTCTTGGAGCTCTCACTGCCCATTATTTTGGCTCTGACCTTTTTACCCCTCATGAACATCTTCCCAACAGCAGGCCATGTGTATTACTAGAGGATTTTACAGCATCTCTTTAGTTCCATAACGTGTTTTCAACATGTGAAGGTTAAACCCTCTGTTCTCTCAAAGATTCTGGTGCTTTTAGAATTCATGTTTCCTCTCCACAGAGATTTTTATTGATAACAGCCCCGTACCTGTAACTGCAAGAAACCCATGGAGTGGGTCTGCATATTGAACAGTGGTATTTTTAGCCTCACATCTCCCAGCACAGCACTGTCAGTGCTCAGAGGAAACTGATTCTTTTGTCTTCCCCTTTTTGTCTTAGTCCTGGTGTCAAAAACTGAATGGTACAATTGGTTGTTTTCTTTGGAAATTATCTACAGTACACTGTAAGCCAAAAACAGACCTGTAGATCTATGATGCCGTGGTCAATTATTGTGTGAATGTGGTGTTTTTTTGTCTTCCAGCCTATTGAGACAAAGGATGTAAATATGTCTTTGATGAGAGGGTTTTTAGGAAATAAAATATTAATTCCTGTTTGTTACCTGGAATCAAAAAATTTACAGCAAGTTTTCATTTTAGAATAGGAAGGAGGAATTAAAAGCCAGGAACATTTGACGCAAATCTTTATGTTCCAGATTGATCAGGAAAAGATAAGGCAAACTTTGGGATAATTGAGTACTATGTGGGTTTTGCCTTTGGAGACAAAACTTTCATTTTTAGTAGTGGTTTCCAAGGCAACAGTTAGTCATAAAAAGACACTTCTGTTATATAAACAAGCATTTCTGTCAATACGGAGGACATCTAGGCTCTTGCATCCCTGCTTTTAGATAGACTGTGTTGGATGTTGTAGGTTCATTTCATTTAAAACATAGTCAGGGTTCACATGTATTTCAAAAGGAGCCACATGGCTCCAGAGCAACTCTTTACAGGCAGCAAAATATTTATAATCAGAACAAAATTTGTGGCACTACTGCAAAAAGGACTAAACTGGTATTTCTCTTACAGGTGACACCTTAATAGTCTGCATTAAATCTTATTTTTTATCAAGACAAAAAGCTGCTACAAATGGA